AACTCAATGCTGTTATTTGTGTCCACGAAGTTTCATTGAATAAAGATTTTTTGCTCAGTAAATCCGTCTGCGGAAATCTAGGTATGTTTGATTAATTGCATTTTTGTGATTGCATCTTTTATATGGACGCTAATAATTATTATAGTAATTATGAATAAATAAAAGAAGTGATGAGCGTGCAACCTCATCTTAAGAGGTCAGACAGAATGTTATTCGTTCACGAGATTCTTCATACAATAATTTGGATCGTTATTGAAGATCAAGGTGTAGTAACGTTTAACGAACTTTTAATTATGTTTGTTCAGATTTCTAGTGTTTGCTTGCGGTTCTTAATTTATGGTTTTCTTTATCGTGTTCTCAGAAACGAAGTAGAAAAGTCACTATTTTTATTTTTATGACTAACTGACCCGTTCTGACAAAAGTGATACGAAAATCAACTTTCAAGAAAGAGCGTTGTCCATTAAACCATCATCAGAATGCATTTGTAATTTTTCAGGACTACTTTCTAGGTATCCATAGATAAAGCTGATAATTTAACATACACTGAATGGATGGTCAAGTCTGCTTCTCTGCGCCAAAGAAAATAGTAAAAATATTTTCACACCCAATTTTCTCCCAATTTGAAAAAAGAATAAGTAACCGAATGTGTTTCTATCGCTTTCAAATTTTACGATAAGAAACAACGTCAAAGTCAAAGCATTTATTTCAATTAAACCATAATTTGGTACTTTTGAAACGTCAATAAATACAAAATAATTAATAGTCTGTCAGTCAGTCCGTCAGTGAAGCTAGGTGCACAACAATTAACGATCAATTTTATTTACTTATAACGTAATAACTATAGAATAATGTTTATATTAGTTCCTTTTCTTTTGTAATTCTGAATGGGTAGTACCAGTAAACAAGCACGTGGATCGTAATCTGTCCGGCCTGTCCTCACATTTCTTTGAAATAAGGAAAACTGCATCAAATTACCTTGTTAGTGTTGTTACACGGAACCTGCATAACCGTGTAACTATTTCATCAGAGATTTCTCAATAAGAAGTCTTGTCTTATAACTAAATATAGTACAATAAATTGTTGTGACTTTCTATTTGAAGATGCTGAATGTTTTTTTCTTGGAATTTTCGGCATCGATTTATAAATGCAATTATCAAATGACTTGTAATTATTAAGTAACTAGCTTCTGCCAGCGGCTTCGCCCACATTCCCGTGGAATAAAAAGTAGCCTATGAGTTATTCCAGATCATAATCTTCCACTGTTTTAAATTTCATCTCGATCCCTTCAGCTGTTTTGAAATATTTGGGTACCAAACATATACACAATCTCATAAAGTTTCTCATTTATAATATTAGTTGGATTAACCTCTACAATCAACACATAACATTCTAAATGTATGTAAGACTTTCTAAGCATGTCAGAGTAACAGAAAGTCAGGTTAAAGTGGAACATCCAACCGTTTAGGTGAAGTTTTGCTGCGGAAGTATCGTGTACAGGGGTAATAGTGTTACAATTAACTTGTAAACGAATAATGAGTTTCAATACCCTTACTTTGTTAGTAGTTTAGCGTGTCTATCTATGTATATTTTCGATCTCCAAACATATCTGCCAAGCAAGGAGTCAAAATTACTTCAATTAGGCAAGGCACTTTTGAACGATAACAAAAAAAATTAAAAGCGAAGCTATATTCCATAGTGTAGATTCCTATGAAGAAGAACGAGCAAGAAACTCCATAGGTTACTCTTTTCCAATCAGGTTCACAATACAATTCTCTAATTACATAGTTTTGTTACTTGGATTGTGCGAGAACAATGTAACACTAAAAGCCAGTTGAAGATATCGAAAAAAATAACCTTAAAGGACAGGACAGGAGATTACGGTAAATCCATTTTTACGTAAAAGAATTTCATACACCAACAATGGACTGAGGCCTTAGTACGAGTTTGATGTACGTTTAAAGTATTCGAAAGCTCTGATTGGTAGGTTCATTTGCGCCGGCCAATCAGATTGCCGAACGCGTACTCGTTCCGATTACTTTAAGCGTAAAATAAACTCGTACTAAGGCCTCTGTTATTGGCTGTTGTTGTATACTTCACTTCGTTTTTGTAATAACTATCGTGAGATTAGATTAGTGCAATTTTTAGTTTATTGCTATGCTATGCTAAATTAATTAAAATTCGAACCGAAAGTAGTGAGCGCACGCTGCTCATGAGGAAGAGTCCTTCTGTGTCTCGAAACTAGTAGAGCTTTTCTCAGTATATTCACGTGAGTAAGCCGCGATTTTTAGTTAATACTTCACTTCTTTATAATTCAGAGGTCTTAATGCAAAAAAGATTTAAACACAACTTGTCTATAAACAATATACAAAACTGGTTTTTCCTGTGTGCACAGTAAAGTCCGGTTTCCGAAATTCGAGTAAATAAACGACTTTTTTTAGCGATCTGTATTTTATTTTAATGGGTCTGTGTTCTCAGAAATTATGGACCGTTTGGCCTCCATTTAGTAGTGGTTTTTAAATGTGTTAAGATATTTTTAGTTCACTCCTGATAGTCCCGACACGTTCACTCCTGGCTGCAGACAAACGTCTATTAAAGTACCTAGTTTGCTTAAAAAGTATGATAATGATATGAATGTAAAGAAAATATATTATTAATACTGTGAAAATGAACTTACTTAAGTCGCTGCCATTGAGATAAAAAATATTTATTACATCATCATTGATTAATTTCAAAAAATTGTTCTCTTTTAAATATTAATAATGTTATGTCAAGCGTTCTGTATACCCACCCATTGAAATAATTTACGAATAATATTAATAACTTAAAATTAAATTGAAAACTTAACTTGAAAAATAATAATTTAATATTGCAACAGCTTGGATTGCCAGTATTAACGCTAACCCGTTAAGTCTTCCGGGATTCCCGGAGCTCCGACTCAAACCGAGTAAGAAATGAGTGGTTTGTAGTCAGTAAAATGTTGACAATCTTTCTCGCCTCACCCACGCCGGGAGAAGACATTGGATGATAATCGCCCTCCAAAAAAAATTTCATCAGCAACGGCTCGGGACACCCCTGAGACAAAACATTTAGTACTTTAATTATGCGTTGTCAGATGTTTTGACTTGTCCTGAACTGCCAGTTTATTTCTCAGAGTTTTATTTCAAGGTTGCGATAAAATAAAATAACCAACTTTCCTTGTTTTTGTTAATAATATCGTTACAATTTCCAACAACTGAGGGAAGTGTATTGTATTTTTTCTTAACAATTTCCGCTAATGATGACAAAAAAGATCACAAGACAGCAACAAGGACGTATGTCGGAAGAAAATAAAAAAATAAATAAGTTAATAAGTTAAACTAATTGTTGTTTAGTCAACTGGTTGATAAGGAAAACAATATCTTTATCAGTTGGATAATCTGTCTAGTAATTATCCTAACTAGGCTAGGGTTGGTACTGACTCTTAGACTGTATATACAAAATAGTATAACATTAAATAGAACGGAACATTAGATGTTGGAGAGTCATGCTTCAACAGGAATAGTCTGGCCCAACTAGACTGGAGATATAACTAATGACATATCAGTGTAAAATCAAAAAGACATCCTTAAAACAAGGAAGAAAGCTTTAAAAAACTCTTGCTGCTAACTTAGCCCAAGCTCAATACTATAAATTTAAATGGTGTACAAAATGCCTGAAGAGTAAACCAAACAGAAGCAGGTACCTATACAAACTTCAAGTAGTTGATTTACCTGCCTATTATTTATCTCCACACTTATTTAGCATATGAATTACATAATCAATTCCTAATACGTCTGTTGACATCTGCTAAATATTCCAGGCGTATCTACCGAATTTATCTCTGCTGCTAACTGAATGGCAAAATGACTTTGAAGTGAAGATTTATGCGCGGCCACGTAGTCACTAGACGACAAATCAATTGTATTGAGGAATTTATTGTTAAAAAAGTAACTTTTTTATAATCCTTGTACTTGACTATTACAGATTCTTGCCTCAGGGCTATTAGACGAATCTAGATCTAGACTGTACGATTGGCGTATGGTGGTTAGGCAACTGACTGCCGCGTAACGTGTCGCGGGTTCGATTTCCGCATGGAACAACTCTTTGAGTGATCCACAGATTGTTGTTCCGGGTCCGGGTGTCATGTGTATGTGAACTTGTATGTTTGTAAACGCACCCACGACGCAGGAGAAAATCCTAGTGTGGGACAAAGTTAAAAAAAAAACCTATTCAACATTTTCGAGCGAGTTTGTTATCATAAGCAACTTTTGTACCACTCTTTTAGTCCACACAATAACAATCTATGTCCGTGTAATATTGTGTATTTTAAAAAGCCCAACACTACTTTGTCTAACACTTTGTCCGGCCTTTTTTTTTTTAAGGGAAATCATCGAATGACTGCGCCCACTTTGTCCGGCCTGGATACTAAACTTGAGACCTTGTGCTTGACAGAGGCTCTTGAAGCCACTCAACCGCGAAGTAGGTTATGATGTGTAACGATTAAAAATAAAGTATGATCTATAACGATGGTACAAATAGGTACTTACAGCCTATTTTGGTTATGTGTAGGATGGATATAATTGAACAATCAAACTAGCTTACCTGTAAGCGCCGTTCGATTGAGATTATTCCTGTTGTCTCGTCCGAAGATGATGAAAGTTACTAAGGTAGTATATTTCCATGTTACCTGAGGGCGTCACATAAAGTTTAAATCCTCAAAAATAAAAAATATCCGAACGCTCCCATTTCCAGTTCACCGTTCTATTATCTGTGGACTTCATTTAGTTATCAGCAAAAAAAAATATCTGATTGTCACAACCAAATATGGGGTTATAAGGGTGGGCGGGACTCATCATCTTCGGACGAGACAACAGGAATAATCTCAATCGAACGGCGCTTACAGGTAAGCTAGTTTGATTGTTCAATTATTCCATTGTCTCGTCCGAAGATGATGAAAGTTACTAAGGTAGATGTTCAAAGACTGTTGTACAATCAGATCTTTTTAATAATTTTCTGTTAAGTTATAAGTACTACTTAACTTAATGGACAATATTATTTACTTAATAATTAATCCCTGTTCAAGAGCGAAGAATTGCTTCTGTAAAGCTTTCACTGCGTATAGGTCTGTTATAGAACCTAGCAAAGCAAGTTGAGCTGTCAGTCCAGCCAGCCGTTCTTCGGATCTCATCAATAGAGACACCCCTCTGAAGTGCTGCAGAGGTAGACGCATGTCGGGTACTGTGTGCAGAGAATGTGTTAATATTTATACCGCTTTCCTGCAACATAGACTTTATCCAACGGCTGATTGAACTGACAGTTACAGGTTTATAAGGTTTTTTAAATGATAAGAATAGGTTTTTAAAATCACCTCTAATATTTTTAGTTATATTCAAATAATCAATGACAGCCTTAGCCGGACAGACATGTGGTCGGTCTGTGAAAAATGGTAACTTAATAAAAGGTTGCATCCTATTAGGTGCAGATGTTTTAAGAATCTTATCTACTTGTATGAACACAAAATCAGAATCAATTTTAATATTATCTATATCAATGGCACATATTGTTTGGGCCCTATGGCCTGTAGCTAAAACTAAAAGAGTTACAGCCTTTTTTGAACACAATTCTAAATTATCACAAGTTGTATATTTATTTTCCATGTAATTTAATACTTTAGACACATCCCATGTGTAATCATATTTAGGCTGACTTGGCCTTAACTTAAAGAATCCTCTAAACAGTCTTTTAATATTGCAATCTGTGCCAACATGAGAGCCTAAAAATAGTGACAGGGCAGACCGGGTAGAATTCAAACTACCATATGACAAACCATCTCTAAATTTACTAGTTAGGTAAGATATAATTTCTGGTATACTAGGTTTTAATGTACTTAGCTGATTTGCATAGCAATATGTTATCCAATCCTTTATATAAGGGGAATATTGCTTCAGAGTATTATTAGATATTGAATTGAGCATTATGTCTGTAGCTTCTTGTTCTAAACCTGCTTCTAGAAAGCTGCGCCGCAGAGCTGTCTTACCATCAATGTTAGGCTCCCATGTAGTGGATGAAATGACCTGGAATTACATAACTTCAGTAAACTCTTGTTTGGTTTATATAATAATGGCTTACTACTTAAGAGTTTTTGAAAAATAGGGTACCATGGTTGTGTAGGCCAATCTGGTACTACCATGATACCTTTGGCTTTATCCACTATAATTTTTTCAATAGTTTTAGAAATCATTGAAAACGGGGGAAAAGCATAAAAATACATTTTTGACCAAGAAAATGTAAATGCATCAACTTTAAATGCATCAGGATCAGGATGCCAAGACACATATTTTTCGCATTTTGTATTTGTGCGTGAAGCAAACAAATCTATATCGGGGTTTCCAAAAGTGTTAACTATTATTTTAAAATATTTGTTACCAAGTTCCCATTCTGTATGACCTATTTTCTTTCGGGACTCAAAATCTGCAATTAAGTTATTCTTAGTATTTATGTAAGAGGCATAAATCCAGATGTTTTTCGATTCACACCACTGCCATATATATTTTGAAATATTGTGCAAATGTTGGTGTTGGATTCCACCTAAACGATTTATATATGATATCGCAGTGGTGTTGTCAATTCTCAATAGTATTTCACAATCATGCTTGTCTTTAGCAAAGCATTTTAAACCTAAGAATGCTGCATGAAGTTCTAGCATGTTAATATGGAGCTTTGCCTCTTCTTGTGTCCATGGGCCACTAGCAGTTTTGTTATTGCATCTTGCACCCCATCCTGTAAGCGACGCGTCAGTTTCGATTTCTAAAACAAATTTATTTTTCCTTATAGGACACATAGCTGTTTTTATATTAGTAAGCCACCATGCTATATCTTCTTGGCAACTATTAGGTAATGTTATGATGCTTTCAAAATTATCATTACTTGACAAAAGTGATAAATATTTAATTCTTTCTAAATGTTTGGTATATAACATGCCATATCTAATGGCAGGACAAACAGAAACTAGTGTTCCTAAAACTTGAGCTAAAAACCTAATTGAAATTTTATGTTTAAGTTTTGAAAGTAACTCTACACATCTCTGTCTTTTTTCCTGGTCAATTGAAATTATCATATATTCACTGTTGAAAATAAACCCCAAGAATTTGCATTCTGTTTTAGGTATAATATTACATTTTTTATAATTTACTAAAAAACCCAGGTTTTCAAAAAGATTAAGAATGTAATTTACTTGATTTTTGCATTCTGAATATGATTTTGCAATGATGCAGGTATCATCAAGGTATTGTACCACTCTTATTCCTCTTTTTCTTATTACAGAGAGTATGGGTTTGAAAATTTTTGTAAACAGTAAAGGTGCTGTACAGAGACCAAATGGTAGGACTGTAAACTGGTATAATTTGCCATCAAAATAAAATCTGAGGTATTTTCTGTATTTAAGCTCTATGTTTATCATGTAATAAGCATTTTTTAAATCTATTGTTGCCATATAATCATTTTTCTGTAATAACTTGCAAACTGTACGGTAATCTTCTAATTTGAAATGTTCAGGTAGCATAAATTGATTTAGTTTTTTAAGGTTTAAAATAAAACGGTATTCTCCATTTGGTTTCTGTACTAAAAATATGGATGAGCAAAACTGGTCCTGTGTTGGTATACAACTTTCAACAGCCTTAATTCTAAGTAATTCATCAATTTCCTTTTTAATAAGAATTGTCTCAGATTGAGAAAATTTATTATTAAGTGGGGTATCTTTTTGACAAGGAGTTTTGATGAAATTAAGTGAATATCCAGACACCCAATTAAGAATTACAGGGTCATCTGTAATTGTTTCCCATATTCCTTTAAAATAAGGTAATCTGCCTACCTCTAGGTGTAGGTTCATTTGCGTGGATGGTAACTCCGTTCGTGCTGGTGTCGGGGTGGCGGCGGTGGTCGTCGCGTTTTCTTTTGAGAGTAAGGTTTCTTCCCTCCTCCACTCTGGTGGTTCTCGGTCTTCGTCTTGTTGAACCCCAAGCGCCTGTATCCTGGTTGAGGAGGGACCCGCGAGTTTAAAGGACGTTGATTACGGTTGGTGTTGTTTTGTTTAACAACAGCTGGTGTAGTGCCCAGATCCTGAGCAGACCTTTGGACTGCTTTGGCCACCTTGATTCTTTCAGTGAGGTCTTCACCGAAGAGGAATGCATCAGGGCTACCCTGTAAGGACTCCTTTAACTCCTTGTTAATGACATTTGCAATAAGAGCTCTTCTGCTCTGAGTCTCACTATGCAATAGGTCACATAAAATCTTCGCAGCATCATTGAATCTTTTTATTCCCTCAACTTTATTATAAAACATAAAGCTCTCTAAGCCACAACCAACGGCAGCTAGGGCAGCAGCTACATTTTTCTGTCTATACTCTATAATCATATCTCTTTTCTTTACGGGCTCCGATACGGCAGCTGACAACTCTGGATTCAATTTTGGAGGTACCATTGCAGGTATGTTATGAAAAGGGGCATATTCTTTTAGCAACATAGCCTTGTCTTCTTTTTTCAGACCTTTACTTAGAATAGGTGTCCAGCGCTGCACAATCTCATTGTGAGCTGAAGGGCCACTTACAGGCCCCTCCTCGACAGCGCCCATGGCAGAAATAATATCAGTGTCAATTTCCATAAGTCCAGTCTCTTGCTGCTGTCCATTCTCCTCTGTCTCATTTGGTACTGTCTCAGGGGCTTCATCTACCAACACTTGAGAAATTTCTATGTTTTGGATATTTGAAGGTTGTTGTATTGCACTATGAGACGGGGTGTGGCATTGTACACTTGGTGAGCGAGTCCTTGGTGACGGGTGTCGCGATCGGGATCGGGACCTTGATGACCGGCTTCGTGAAGGCCCTGTATCCAGAACAATGTCGGATATTACACTTTTGCCTTGTTGTCCGATACTTTTACAGTATAGCAACAACAGGAAAAATAAAGTGGCTACATTGCAAGATCCCTCAATACGCATTGGGTTACGTCGTTCGATACTCTGACAGTATAGCAACAACACCTAGCACGTGGGGCTCGCGTGTAAACATTTCTAAGGTTGTTCGATACTCTGACAGTATAGCAACAACAATCAGTGACCTGCGTGTAGAATTGAGCTAAGTTGATCGATACTCTGCCAGTATAGCAACAACTTTTTTGACAGTTTGCGGTTTATGCCGCCAACCTACCACTCGAAAAAAGTTGTTCGGTACTCGTATCAATACAGCAACAACTATCGAGTAAGTATTCATTTTATGGAAAAATTCACTTCACTTCTCCATTTTAACATTCATATAAGGCAAAAAAGTGTGCAAAACTACGTAATTACAAAGTTTTATAAGGTAAATTGGCGCCGTTGCTTGGCGTCGGTAACTAACCTTTGGTTTTTTCCTCCAATTTTTGAAGTTTTCTCCTCAATCTCCTTAGTTCTTTGTCCACATCTTTGTGTTTTCCCATTTTATTCCTAAAATAACTGAAGAACACTAAGAAAAAACACTAATAATCACTTTAAATAATTATTTTAGCGGGAGCGGTGACGCCTCATAGTGACATAAGAAAAGAATGAAGGAAGTCCACAGATAATAGAACGGTGAACTGGAAATGGGAGCGTTCGGATATTTTTTATTTTTGAGGATTTAAACTTTATGTGACGCCCTCAGGTAACATGGAAATATACTACCTTAGTAACTTTCATCATCTTCGGACGAGACAATGGAATAATTGGTATATATGCGCCGAATAGCTGGCATACACATACACCTACTGCTAACTACCTATATGTATCTATGCACATTAAATGAAAAGCCTTTTTGTTGGAAAAGGATGTAACATAGCCTTTTAAGCCGGGTGATGTTTAACGTTGACAGCTACGGTTCGTCAAACGTCTATAGATTATCCGTGATGTCTTCCCATGTCTTCCTCTTTCCCCCAAACGCGGGCGCATGCAATGGTAGTGAAAAATATTTGTGTACCAGAATAAAATCATTTTGAACTTAACTTAGTGAAACTAAACAATATAGAACCTACCCAAAACACAACGAAACAATGAAATATTTTTTCTTCTGAAATCGTTAATTTACGATGATTATACGTAGTGATCGAAATATGTTCGAAATGTTATTTCTTATCCACGGGCACCTTCCACAACCAGAATATCTCTTTATCTCTTAACATTAGGGGGCTACGAAACTTTGGTTATTCGTAGCCCCTTTCGCGTACCTTCAAATATTGCAAGATTTCCCTTTACAAATAAAACAGACTGTCAATGTTAATTAACATTTACAGTCTGTTTTATATATAAAACTTTTAATCAAAGCTCTTTGTATTTTCTCGTTATTATTCGAATAGATACGTGCGATAAAAGTCCGTGGACGATGTTATCAAGCAGGCAGTAAGCCTATCGCTACGCACGTCTAATTGACACGCGGTTTTAATATTAATGTTGATACCTACAAATAGACACATTGTCAACGTCCCTTTATACATTTACACCGAATTACAGGCACGTATTGTGTGTAAATCGTTCATCCGTTTGATTCAGAGCCTTTTGTCACATTGTTTTCCTATGGAATGAGGTTCCATACACGTGTGGTGTTTCGTCAATTACAGGTCATAATGGAGGATACGCCCATCGTTCGTCTTCGCTTCCAAATTATTATCATAATAAAATGGCTAAGTACACATTACGGCCGCCCCTTCATTGCAAACGATGGCATTTATTGTAGTGATCAATGTTTATGTTATTTTGTGACGTCAATGCGTTTTCTTTATTTTACATGTAGCCCGTGACTTCGGTGTGTTGCGCAGATACAATATACTGACTGATATATTATGATAGATAACAAAATCATTAAATTAATTTAATGAAATCATCAAGTTTTATTCATTGTTTAGGCCACTTGGTACGTGTAGCAATTACTAGAACATGAATTGAATTAATTGCTTCTCTGAATTCATAAAAGTTAACTTTATTTAATCGTTAATAAGTAGTTAATAATTACCATTAACCTTAAATAATTAGATTTTATGCTTCACTGCGTCACTGAGTACCTGTAGGTACGTAAACGGGTCATATAATACGCATACAGAGGCCTTAGTACGAGTTTGATTTACGTTTAAAGTAATCGTAACGAGTACGCGTTCGGCGCTCTGATTGGTTGTTTCATTGGCGCCGGCCAATCAAAGTGCCGAACGCGTACTCGTTACGATTACTTTAAACGTAAATCAAACTCGTACTAAGGCCTCAGATGTATTGAAAGTGCAACAAACCTAGTGTAAGTAAATTGTATGCGTTACAATGAATTATTTATTTGTTGCCATTCTCATATTATATGAGGATAAAATTGTATCGAACGCCCTTAGGACGTGTCGGCAGTAAGTCTTTCATTTAAAATTGGCTTTAAAAAGTTCGATGAAGACGCAACGGAACAATAAATATGGCTAGATATACCTAATAAAAGTCGCATCACCTGACTTAATTAGCATACATTAGAGTACAGACAGCACATCACGCATGCGCGGCCTGAAGCCGGTGAAGCGCCACATAAGCTCTGACACTAATGTACAATACACACATATTTGTACGTAGGTACTTAAGTATATAATGCGCAAGCGCTTCAATATATTTCAAAGAATAAACTATCAACAATAAATCTCACTACACAATACTAGGTTTGCGCATACATTATAATAATTTAGATAAAAAAACTAATCAAATAAAGCGCTGCGTACGAATGATTGATTTAAGCTTTTTAAACGGTTGTAAAACGATCGTAAAACTAAATGTTTAATCGATTTATAGCTCTACTAGTACATCTTCAAAAACATCACTATGGCATTAGAATTACATATCGGCAAACTAGAGAGAAAAAAATGTAATAAGTGAAATGAATAACATAACATAACATCACGCCTCTTATCCCCGAAGATGTAGGCGGTGCACATAAAGCCACTGCATAATGTAACACCCACTTTTCACTATTTATGTTATGAGTCCCAAGTAATAGGGGGTGAGCCTATTGCCATATACCGGGCACAATTCCAGACTCCGTGCTACTATTGAGATTTAAGAAAAAAATCAGTAATACTTTGCCCGACCCGGGAATCGAACCCGAGACCCCTTGCCCGGCAGTCGCACTTGCAACCACTCGGCCAGCGAGGCAGTGAAATAAATAAAACTACATAAATATAGAGATGGCGTATATTCAAAGAAACCACGTGATTAAATAAACCACGTTACATAAAATCTGTAGTAAAGTAACTGACGAAGGAAATAAACTTTATTGGAGCATAAAACTAAAATCTTTAACTCTATACATTTAAATAAAATACAAAACAGTTGACCTGCTCATATAAATAGAAAGACTAGTATTTTATTATATAGTTCACTATGTACTGATACTTTATGTAGATCTTTATTTATACGTGGAGTGACGAAACTTCTCGTGAATCAGTAACTTACATTGTCTGTTCAAATTGAATCCATAAATACTATAGTCACACTAATTTTTAAATACAATGTAACATTTTCTTACTTTGTATTACAAACAGAAAAATCGTGCATCCTCCATTTCAAAGTAAATGGTAATTTAACTTAATGGCTACTTAAAAATAAATACATAATTCCTAATACTCTTTCTAATACTGTCGATACTAATAAATGCTTCAGTAAGGCACTGGTTGCACCCCAAACTTAATTCTAACTTAAATAAATTAAATTACATTTTGGCAAGATAATGGTAGGTACTTAGAATTATATTACAATGATCTGCTAATAGTGTGTTTGAGGACAAAATCAATGAGCCTTTCAAAGTTATATTCACCACAATTCGTTTATAGAAGTGTCCATTGAACATGAATATCATGTAAACAAATGACAATTTACGAGATGGAACTTTTCGATACCAAAATAGACATTTCAATCACCTGTATAAATCATTTCAATAAACGGACTGGTATGATAACCTCTGACTCTTGTTGTATGTATGACACAGCGCTATGTACCCGGTGAATAACCTCTAGGACTTCTTTTCCTCTGCTTGGGAACATCCACATAATCTACCACTTCCCAATTCTCTTCAGGCTCTTCAGGAATCTGAGGTGGTAAGGCAGACCTGGTTAGGGGAACTCCTGCATTGTCCAGGGATAAGTAAGCTTTGATCGCGGCGGCGGCCGCTTCATCATCAGGAGTTGACAACGCGCGTGCATTGAATGGGCCCGACACATCTTGACTTGGAAGCTCCCAAATATGCCATTGCGCGTTCATCTTGAAATTCTGTGCAAAAAATAAAATTATATTAATAAATGTGCAATCAATTGTTGTGGTTTTTATTATGATCAGTTTGGTTTTACGTCACAGGTTCGTCACTTCTATGTAAGGTGTTAAGCTATAATAGGTAGATTTATTGATTCATGTTGGATACGTCATAGGCACGTTAATATGACGTATTCACTGACTTAACTCCTCTATTTATTGTGCAAAGTTTAAGCATCAAAGGTTAAAACGTGTATTTGCAGAAATAATCATTCCTGTTATTTCAACTTATTCATAACATTTTTTTTATGAATAAGCCGGTAAACGTGCTGCCGCATCACCCGATGGTAAGCAATCGGCGTCGCCCATGAATACCTGAAACACCAGAGGCGTTACAAGTGCGTTACCGGCCTTGTGAGGATTAGGAGGTTGACTTTGGTTGGGGCTTTAGGGATGGGCGTTTTTCATAAGAAAGTTATTTGCTTAGTTGTCCATTACCAATTTCAGTTAATTAATAAAGGGCCCTTAGTTTGGATCTTAATTTCGATTTTACATTAAACGAGAAATTGGAATTGAATTAATTGGAACAATTACATTCACTTGAAATAAATGGCGAGCGTTTATCTTGTTTGTTTCATTTAGACAATTTCAACAAGATTCTTGAAAACGTATAATACATGGTTAATGAAAAACGTACAATAAACGTATAATACAAAAACGTACAATATGGTTACACTCGATTCAAAATTACTTTACAAGGACCAACATACATCATAAAAGAACAAATTGCAGTAATTTGGAACTCCCTGTTGAAAGTTATATGTGGACTTAAAGATTACCACAAGTGGTATGAAAAACAGTAAATAAGATTTGACTGAAATCCAACCTCATAAGAATAGAACTAAGTGTATACTTATTATATTTTTATTACCACACTGCTGCTGATATGAATTTATCTTTATTGTAGTATTCAATACAAATTATGAAGTTACCTTAGCAGTAGCAGAAACTACTGAGCATTTTATCATCAATAGCTTAATATTATGGATCTCCACACTCAACAGGCGGGATGGACATACAGTTAAAAATATTCATTCTTTCCTTTTCTTCATTAAGTCTAGCGTATTTTGAACTAAGCTGAACTAAATTGCATATGCTAATTATTAAAATGAGTAAGATTTTTTGCATAATGAAATGGATAATTTCTCAAAAAAAAATTTAGAAAGATTCAAGATTATTATAGAGCGCGGTATTCGCCCAATATGTAGTCCCTAAAGGCCGAAATGAATAACTTGTCTCAATCCAAAATATGGCAATAAGGATCGAATTTTGGCATCAGTTGTATGGAGTTTCTATCAAAAACTTTATCTCTGTCTTCTCCATTGGTTTTGGACGTAAATTCGGCTCTAATGACTTCTACATTAGAAGAAGGGATATGTAACAAATATCCTCTACCCTGCAGTCGACACCATGCCATTCGACGAGACACGATTCTCAGTACTGGCCCTATTTGTTAAGTCAGTTGCAATAACTGAATATATTATTTTGCAGACTTGCTTACCAATAAAATACCCGTCTAGTGATACATCTGCCAATAATTTAAAGGAAAAACAAGTCTGTCTCATTTTCAATGTACTTAAGAAAAATAAATAACCGAGTTCATGGCATAATATTAATGATTCATTTTGCCAATCAAAATATTTGTTGCTTTACATTCTAATAATAAGCATTAACTTCTTTTAAAACGATGATACAATATGTACCTAACAAAAAGTATAAATGCGAAAGTTGGAATATATGCATGTAATGATAATTTTTTTATAAATGTAAATTTATTATGATATACGTATTTTATGTCTGCTTTTGATACTCTTTTATTAATTTGGATAATAACCACTATCTCTCATAACATTTTTGCAGCTTACCACCTACCATATACATACTGTTCTGCACTACCCAAAGCATGACTGGCAGAGAATACTGTTAGTATTAAGTCTTCCTTATGTAATTGAATAAAAACTTAAATAAATAATGAATAAATTTTTACTTCAAGTACATCAAAATAGCTGAACTGATTTAGATGAGATTTGGTACACTGATTGATTACAATATACTTTTTATACAAGAAAAAATGTTCCATGGGATCTGTTAATGTGGACGAAGTCGCGGGCACAGTATGTGAAATATAATTGATACGCGAGACAATGACATGTGGAACCCAGATGTGAACGATTCTATTTATCATATTTATAATCCTTGAAATGTGAAAATTATATCAATTTTATTTGTAGTGTTCTGTTAATTCTCACGTATTATACGTATTTTATAAAGTCTAATTGTTTTTGTAAATATATACGCCGTAATGAAGTACATATTCGAGATGAAAATTTGTTTGGTAAACCTTTTGATTAGGAAGTTTAGTTTCAATATTTATGTACTTTCGATTTTCATGGCATTATAATGTTATTCAATTGAATGAGATAAATCCATTGTGACTATATAATACTTATCTAAGAAAACAATGCATTAGTCTTGAACGTGAAATACCTACGTACGATTTACTTTAGGGATAATAACGCCTCTTGTGATTTCTGAGCACACAAGTAATGAATCTTCCAGTGTTTGTCACTATAAAACTACGAAAACAAAATAAAACCTACCTGTACCTACTACAATAAAAAATTCCTCCTACTTGAACAAATAAATAAAAGATTACGAGAGATTTGTTACGGAATCTGTCAAATAATGTACATACGTAAAGTACGTGGTAGTGTTGTTAAAAACATCAATAAATACGTGAATATAATAAGTATCAGAACTGCTATTCCCTAAAGAGATAAGTTATACTAGCATTGAATAAAAGGAAATAATTCGTATAAATGAAAGGGAATTTGTTCACCTAATATAGTCATAACATAGCATCAGGCAGAGGTGCACATTGCGGCACTTAATGCCACTGTACAATGTAACACCCACTTTACACGATTTATGTTATGAGTTCAATATAATAGGGGATGAACCTATTGCCATATACCGGGCACAATTCCAGACTCCGTACAACTACTAAGATTAAAAAAAAACCAGTAATACTTTGCCCGACCTGGGAATTGAACCCGAGACCCCTTGCCTCGCAGTCGCACTTGCGACCACTCGGCCAATGAGGCAGTCTACCTAGTATAGTTGAATCCGACATCTCTCGCTTGGCAACCACTTTTGAAACTAGATAATCAATGAGAAAAACTCAAATATAATTACTGCAGATAATTATTTCGTGTATTTTAAACAGCTGGTAAGATTATTTCTGCATTAGGTAGCCATGTTTTGTGTTGCTACGAATTTGAGTGTACGGAAACAATGTCAACAATTAAACGGAATTGGTAGAAAAATGCTATAATCATGTAATTTTGAATATTGTTAGGGCAGTTACTGATGTGTGACGTCCACTACGGTATTTCATGTGTTTTCGGACGCTTTACGACTGTATATAGTGTGTGTACCTATAATACTTATTATGAATAGTGTATGTGTCTCTAACAAAAGTAACAATTAGCAGCAACACTATGAAAGTCAAAATAAACTTCAGGAGGTGTCAGAAAGAGTGATTTTTATTTTATATTCTTATTTTTATTTTAAGATATTTTTGCACACATTATGTGACGATGTCAATACCATCCTGCGTTTACATAGCAAATATATTTACAACTTAAATAGTAAGATTTTTACTATTACTTAGGCTTACAAAATAATAAATACCTACTCTGATATTCTACAAAACAACAGTCTAATTTATTTATCTCCAATATACAGGCATCATTTTCGCAGCTTCATTTGTAGGCTTAGCTAAAATACCATTAAACATTCCAACATCCATTACTGACAGTTTCATGGAGTTGAGAAGTGCATTTCTCTTATTTTTATATCGGACAAGAGTGATATTTTTAACTAATAATTTCTTACTTTTATTGCATAAGTCATTGCAATCCTGAATTTGTGTTCTTATTGTTGGTCAAAGTAACAAAACATCTGTTAACTCTATCTTCCCCTATTCTTGGCATGTCTAAGTATCTATCACCATAGATAAATTGATATGTACAGTTTACAGATACCGTAAACTATCTTCAATTAGCAGCAGCCTTGGTCGAGTACAATGCCTGCCCTTGCTTGCTTCCGTCTAAGGCTTATCTGGCTTCCATGCACATGCGTATTATACGAGTGTACTACGAAAACATTAGATTTGTGCCAAGAACTTAATTATACGGTAGTTGTTGTGTATTATTCAATTAGGTGTAACTTCTAACTAGTTCCTTGTAGTTTTTACTATAATTGTGTTAAAGGGTTAAGTGGATAATATAGGAAGGGAAAACATGATCGTAATTGTCGTGAAAAAGTAACGTTTAGAGAAAGACATTTTGTTTCTAGATAAGTATAACTAATAACTTTAAATAATAATAAAACTGTCTAATTAAGAGTCAAAGCTTTTATCATAGTAATCAGAGTGTCTTGTCAGGAACACCACCGGATGGCACGTTTCGTCAACATTTAACAAATCTCGGCTGTCGAGTGGACTGAGCGCCTGTTCATATGTGTCATCTATCAAAAGTCAACAAGTTGTTAAAATGTTAACGTCAAATCTTGAGCATACTTGCGTAATTTATCATAGTCCAATTTAAACGTCTAGATAAACTGTGACTAATTAGGCCCATAATTTACTCTAAATCAGCAAATATCTTTGAATTTCTATGACGCACGGAAGAAAGTCTGTGGCGTATGTTTGGCACTCAAACAATACCGAGTGCTGCATAACAAGTCTAAGGGCTGACTCTGTAACATTATCTAATGATAAATCTCTGTGGTACAACCGAGTTAGAAGTTTATCCTTATATGATAGTATATAGATGATTTCTACGCAATCATAAGAAAGCGTGTCGCCTCCCTGATGCAGCGGGTGCGGGGCAGCGCCAACAGTCTTCTGATGACCGTGGCGGATAGGACTGATGGCCTTATGCTAAAACACTGGACGA